TCGGAAGAGGTAGAAGCGCGTTTGCAGTCACCACATGGCCTGGTCGCTGCAGGAGGACTGACAAACAGCTTCCCCACCCCGATCACAAATGCAGTGGTTAGAAGGCAGAGACTCACAACTGCACAAGTCTGACAAGGGACACAAGCATTGTTTGTGTCACGCACTCAATTTACTCACAGATTAACATAGTAAGGTATATAATATAAACCTGGTGCTTTTGCAGAAGAAACAGTTTATCCCAGCATGGCATAAGAGATTTCTAGTCCTCACCTGTTTAGATTGTTCGGGCAGGGTAAACTGCTAGAAAATTTGACTTCTCCAGATAAGTCTTCTGAAACGACAATATCCAGCTCGCTCTTCTGTCGCACTTTTGTATGCCTAATGAATTCAAGCAAGTACAATGGTGAAATAATCACCTGCCTTCCCCAGCCCGCATGTTGAAGCTACTCTTGACGGCTGCAATACAGATGCCGCTTTGATTTCTGCTACCTGCCCTGCAGGAGCCAGTCCTGATCCCAAAGAGCAAGTATCAGGAATGCTGAACTGGCTCAGGTAGGTCAAACTCCTGTGAAGGGAGTCAGTCTCCATAAGGGCAAGGAACGTAGGGATATTACCCGAAGACTCAAGGGACCACACTTCTACGTCCTGTAAACAGGACAGTCGCATTGTGCGCACTCCTCTTATCCCCTGGCCCCAGCTCACTCACCATTGCACTGGCTGCCAGTTGGGTAGGAATGGTCGGAAGCCTGTGATGCACTCAAAGGCCAGTGTGCCAAAGCTCCAGTAATCCACCGTCACCGTATACTTCTGCTGTTCCAGCAGCTCTGGCGCCTGCGACAGTTTACACACACATGAGACAAAGCCACCCATCTCCTAGCTCGCTCTGTCCCTTAGGAGCTCGTTAATGTTTGTACAACAGATTAAAGAGGGTGCTGAACGCTCTGCCTCTCACAAGCTTTGAGACCCTCTCAGAGTGGACAGCAGAGGTTATTGGCACTCCTTGTTTATAACAGACATAGCTAGCAGACACTGTGAAAATCCAGTGTCAGCAAAAAACCAGCCACCTTTGCTAGCTGCAGCAGCCCAAACGCACCCCACACCAGGACAAGTACTTCGTCCCAGCCCAAGGCCTGCTAACAGTTACCTCTATCCCACTGCAAAGTGGGAGCCGCTCTCCTGGCCAAATGCCTTCCTTACCAAGTACTGCAGAGTCCCAACAAAGGATGTGCATAGGCTGCCCTGATCCAGCTCCTTCGCATAACCGAGGTCAATGATTTTGTGTATTAACTGAAACACACAACAGAGAATAAAAACACTAGAGAAAAGTCCTGTTAAAAGCACACCATACAGCAGAGAAAGAAAAGGTTCAGCTCTTCACAGGTATGCAGGAAAGGTGCCAACAAAGAGGTGGAAGTGGAAATGGGAAACTCCTGAAATTCCTAAAACCACAAAGTATCTAAAGTTGTCATTGGCTTGATACACACAGAGCTGGAGACATTACTGCTAACTCAGATCTTTGGTCAATCAGTACAGTCTGGTTCTTTCCTTAATAGTTGAAAGTCAAACTGTCAGCTGTTACCAGAAGTCCAATACAACCTTTCATCTCAGCTGCACGCAGACTAGTGTCCGTCCGACACACAGATCTGAGCTAGCTGTTATCCCGGGCTGAGTGCTCTTGCAGGAGGACCGCTGAGACCGCATTCAGCACACGCACGTTCCTCTAACGCTTACTTGTCTGGGCAGGCAGAGACACCTGGTTCCTGCTTACCCTTTGCTCTCCTTGCTGCAGCACAATGTTCTCTGGCTTCAAGTCTCTGTGGATGATCCTGTTCTCATGAAGGTACCTGAGAGCAGAAGCTGAGACACAAAAAAACCACTTGTAAGAGCGTAACTAACAGTACCTAGCACGAGCTCAGTAAGGGTTCATTTCTACCTAGCGTAAGCACAGCTTTTGGGTCAAATCTTGTGCAATCAAACATACAATGAAACGCCAAGTGCAAGAGGAAAAGTCGGCGTCAAACACTTCTGGACACAGAGTTTGCTCTCTGGGTCTTCCCTCACGCCCTTCTTGTAAATTGGAATAACGCTGGCTAGCTTCCAGTCGGCAGGGACCTCCCCAGGCTCCCAAGGCCTTTGGTAGACGATCGAGAGGGGTCCTGCCATAACATCTGCCAGCTCCTTCAGAACCCTGGGATGAATCCCTTCAGGCCCCACGGACTTCTGAACATTCAGCTGATACAGCTGGTCCCTGACAATTTCAGCGTCCACAAATGGGAAGTCACTGTTCCCACACTGGTGGCCCTCTGACTCAGGCAACCGGGCAGCCCGAGGGCTATCAGTATTATTAAAGACTGAGGCAAAAAACAGCACTGAATGCCTCCGCTTTTTCTTCATCCCTGTTAGTCAGGTGACCATCTTCAACATGGTCCAATGTTTTCTTTAGACCTCTGCTTGCTATTAACAGACTTTAAAAAGCCTTTCTTGCTGTCTGACACAACACTGGCCAGTTTCAACTCTAATTGAGCTTTGGCTTGTCACGTCTCCCTGCGTGTATGAACCACAGCTCTGCAATCTTCCTGTGAAGCCTGACCTCGCTTCCAGAGATCATACAATTTCTTTTTCCTCTTGAGCTGCACGAGGAGCTCCCTCTTCAGCCAAGCTGGTCTTCTGCCCCGCTTGCTTGACTTACGACACACTGCAATCGCCTGCTCCTGTGCTTCTAAAAGGTGGTTCTTAAAAACTGACCCACACTCATGGACTCCTAAGCTCTCAAAAACAGATTCCCAGGGTACTCTGCTAAATACCTCCCTGAATAGCTTGAATTTTGCTCTCTTGAAGTCCAGGGTAGCAACTCTGCTGTCCTTTTTTCTCATTACACCGCAAATTTTAAACTCAACCATTGCATCATCACTGGGGCCAAGACAGCCACCTACCATCACATCTCCCACAAGTTCTTCTCTGTCCACAAATAACAAGTCTAGGAGGGCATCTTTCCTAGTTGGCTGAGTACGTGTGACAAGAAGTTCTCTCCCACAAACCTCGAGAATTTCCAAGACCTGCTCATCACAGCAGTATGATATTCCCAGTTGATGTCTGGGAAGTTGAAATCTCCCATAAGGACAAGGGCTACCAATCCAGAAATTTCTCCTAATCGCCTACAGAATAACTCATCGGTGCTAACATCCTGGCTAGGCGATCGAGTGGCTATACTCAGCCTTCCTTTACCTGCTTCTTCAACAGTCTTAACCTAGAATCCAAAAGCTGCTCTACCAAACGCTTTGTTCTGTCCTGTCCACAAGGTGTGCTTCTCCCCATTTCACCGGCAAAATTCTTCACAGTGAATTTCTGTGCAACACACTTTTTCTGTTCAGAACCACTGAGACCCCACAACTGGCAGACTGATGAATTCCATCTAGATTAGAAAGACAAAAATCTCATCTTAAGAATACACAAAGGCAGAATAAATGCCCTCTATTTTCTCACACTTGCTCAAGGTAATACCTTAATTTATCTCTTCTCCTGCAGATAAAAAGAAAAATCATGGTGCTAGGAAACACAAAACTTGGCAGCATTTCCAGTTTGTGCTTTTCAGCCATGACTCAGGCCTGAGCCAAAGGGACTCACTTTTCTGCTCTCTGACAGCATTGCATTCCCAGACAGAGCTCTCTTGTTCAGTGCAAAATGATCCCGCTGGACTTTCAGGAGTTACCAACAACATAACTGTCCTTCTCCTGAAGGACAGTAACCCTAGAAAGACCAACTAGGCATACACTGTAAGCGATCAGGAGAACAAGGTACCTCAATAGTCAAAAATATTTCTTATCAGCCACAGTTCAGAACATACAATTGAAAATTTGGGTCTGTCCCTCTTCCCATACACACACAAGCACGTGAACACAAGCTTCACTCTAAAGATGATCTGCCTTTGTCTCTGGTCAGCACTCGGCATCATCTCCTGGTCACTACAGCGCCCAAGGATGAGGCAGCAGAATGCAAACGCTCTGGGAACACAAAGGATGGGAGATAATGCCTAACAGCCACACCTGCAGTAAAAGCAATGACAAATGCATGTTTATTCTCTCGTCACAAGCTCACTTTCCAAGCCTACATCTGCCTCAAACGCACTTCTTGCATATCTTCTCTCTAAAGCCTTAGCGCCTGTCCAGTTTTGCCTCAGCTGCAACTCAGTAAGATCACAACGTAGGTTGACCAAAAAACTCCCCCCCAAAAGTCTCCCAAAAGCACTTGGCAATCTTTGCACCAGAACTGTCTAAAATTCCACATAGTGGTTGCCCAAATGCTAAGGGAAACCCACGGATCGCACACACTCTGAAGCCCTGATGATCAGCTGTTAAGCTGAGGGTGGAGACTGATATGCAACACAAACCAGAGTCACTGGGCAAGTGTTCAGCTACCGAGAACCTTCCAGGAAATCCCAAGTGGCCTTTTTGCCAGGCAAGAAAACCCGTCTCGACATTTTCAAGAACAAAAATCAAAGGTTGGCTCTCCCACAGGGAGGGCTGGCAAAGCAAGAGAGGAAACAAGTACGCTCTTCAAAGGTCAGTCTAAGTTGGAGTCATTCAGGTCACTGCTGCGCATCCTTAGAGTGGATTTGGCACTGAAAGGGCTTCCATAACTCAGAGAGCCGAAGGTACGACTGCCGCTTACCAATATCAGATAACAAGATGAGAATAGCTTCTTCCCGCAAGCCACAGCAATTCTCCAGCTGATTCAGGTACTGCAAGAAAACAACACAGAATATAGTCTTTCCCTCACGTATCCTGAGCGAGGCTCATAGTCCTAACAAACTCCCACGAATGCAAGAAGTTCCAGTAACAGCACTGAAATTCTCTAGAGGCACAAAATGCTACGGGCTACGGGCTACGGGCTTGTGACCTCCGGTAGCAGCAATTACAGCTTCAGGCTGTAATTGATCTAACCGGATGGGAGGAGAAGAGTGGGTGAAAGACGTCAGTGTCATCCCCATTCTCCTCCTTCTACTTGCTCCATCCCTCATAGCCGTTTCCCCTGCGCCTGGCACTATCAGCTCAAATCTCAGCGTTAAGCTCTGGGGTTTATCTATGGGCAGATTATAGCAAAGGTTAGAAAAACAGTAAGATTAGAATTAACGTGTTATTTTTTCCTATGACAGATAGGAGTTAATCACTTTCAGGAAGGGTACAGCCCACAGATGCACCCAGCCCTACGATGGTCTCGGCCATACTCACATCCTGTTGCACACCCCTCACGCACACCCTCGTCCTCTACGGGCAAACTCCCCACAGCGTCACTTGCAGCCAAACACACACAAAAAGTTTCAGAAAGCACTTAAGTCTTCAAAAGCTGAACGTAGTATCGAGGACCAACCCACCAAAACCTGCTGGTGCCATGACCAGAATCAGGGAGCATAAGGATGTGAAAACAGAGGTTTTACAGGGAAACTTCGATAGAAACCCTAGGATCAGCTTCTCAGCCCTCGCTCCCCACCCCAGGGACCTCACCTTGCGGAGGTCTCCACCTTGGCAGTACTCCATGGCCAGCAACGGCAAGTCATTAGGTGCAAGCTTCTGCATCCCTTCGGGGACATCACGGGCAGCCACTACGTTGGGATGGTTCAGCCTGAGGAGTGGAAATGAGGCAAGTACGCATGGTGAGCGGAACCAGGGTAACACCTGAAAGACAATTGTTCTGCAACAGCTATGCAGCGTCACGTGCTCACGGTCATCACGCGACGTCCTACAAGGACATTAATCCTTTTAGAAACTGAAGTAGTGAATTCTAAAGGTCTGCAATTCATCCATCTCTCACAGACCTAGACTCGTCCCGACTCCTGGCGCTTCACGTGCAGTCAGCGCGTCCCTTCAACGTGCACGCACACCAGACCTGCCTAGGAGCCGCAGGAAGGTGCCTTGCGAAGGAGTGTGACGCAGTCTGTTGCCACCCTCCAGAAAAGACCCAAATGGCGATCAGACCATCGCATCCTACGAAATCAATCCAACGCCCTGAAGCACAACCCAGCACAGCCAGTAAGCTAGGCAAAAGAGCAGCTACGTAGCAGAACTGCTGTAACGCTGAAGGCAGTGGCAGAAGCGCTGAAGAAGGAAGTCCAAGACCCAAGACTCTGATGAAACACGATGTGAGGTTTTCTTTAGCGTGTGCTTCTACGCACTTAGAATCATAGAATCATTCAGGTTGGAAAAGACCTTCAGGGTCATCGAGTCCAACCGTTAACCCAGCACTGCCAACCCCACCGCTAAACCACGTCCCTCAGCACCACATCTCCCTGGCTTTTAAATCCCCCCAGGGGTGGGGCCTCAGCCCCTGCCCTGGGCAGCCTGGGCCAGGGCCTGACAGCCCTTTGGGGGAAGGAGTTTTTCCCAATACCCAACCCAAACCTGCCCTGGCGCAGCTTGAGGCCGTTCCCTCTCGTCCCATCGCTTGTTCCTGGGGAGAAGAGACCGACCCCCCCGACTCCAGCCTCCTTTCAGGCCGTTGCAGAGAGCGATGAGGGCTCCCCTCAGCCTCCTCTTCTCCAGGCTGAGCACCCCCGGTTCCCTCAGCTGCTCCTCACCAGACTTGTGCTCCAGACCCTTCACCAGCTTCGTTACTGTTCTCTGGCCATGCTTCATCACCTCAATGTCCTTCTTGTAATGAGGGGCCCAAAACTGAACACAGAATTCGAGGTGCGGCCTCACCAGTGCCGAGTACAGGGGCACGATCCTGGTCCTGCTGGCCACACTGATTCATTCCTGATGCAAGCCATTCTTTGCATTGCACTTTATAAAGCAGATCATAGAATCATAGAATACCTGGTTGGAAGGGACCTCAAGGATCACCTGGTCCAACCTTTCTTGGCAAAAGCACAGTCTAGATAAGATGACCCAGTACCCTGTCCAGCTGAATCTTAAGTGTCCAATGTTGGGGTACCCACCACTTCCCTGGGGAGATTATTGCAATGATTGACTGTTCTCATTGTGAAAAATTTACCTCTTGTGTCCAATCAGAATCTCCCTGGGAGTAACTTGTACCCATTACCCCTTTTCCTCACCAAGTGACTCCTTGTCAAAAGGGAGTCTCCATCTTCTTTGTAGCCCCCCTTTAAGTACTGGTACCTGGTGATGAGATCACCTCTAAGCCTCCTTTTCTCAAGGCTGAACAAGCCCAGCTCTCTCAGTTTATCCTCCTATGGCAGGCTTCCCAGACCCTTGCTCACCTTGGTGGCCCTTCTCTGGACCCCCTCCAGCCTGTCCGTATCT